CATTCTATTGATGTCTCAGAAGTTGTTGATTTCATTCAAGATTATATTGCACTTTTACTCAGTCCACGCTTTCGTAAAACAGAAATCATTGATTCAATTGAAAAGGAGTTTGAACACATTAAGACATTGAAGCAGCTGTTTAAGGCATTAGAAAAATATGTCTCGTGGTTTAATTTTGAACTTGTCGTCAAGTTAGTCAATACTTTCATTACTGATGAGAGAGATTTACAGAGGAAGTGGTCTACATATCGTGAGAAATTAAAAGATTATTTTAAAAATAACAATACTAAAGCAGTTCAAATTGCAGACTCAATTGAGTTTGGTCTTTCTGATGTTCCAGGCACTAAAGTAATGATTGCTAAGGTTGCCAGAGACGACTACACATTAAATGATTTATATTTCTTTCACAAGCTAATCGCTGATGCACTTGAAGTTCCAGATTATGATTTTTATTTTTGTACAATTGACAATGGCTGCATGGAATTAAAATATTCCATTCCTGATTTTCTTTATTCTGTTCTCTTTCTATTAAACAATCAACAGTGTGATTCATTGGCTGAGATTGGAATCATAAAAATTACTTGTCATGGTTATGTACATGACATGAAGCAGGTATGTTATTAATTAATTAATTATTATAAAATAATTATTATCATCTTTTAAAATTATAGTTGCCAGAAAATGAATTAAAGAACCTTCATGATTCTCCTATTGGTAATTATTATTATTGTTAACTTTATTTATGATATATTATATAGATATTTATGATCCTCTCTGGTATGAGAATACCAGCACTCCATTGAATGAAGCATGTTGGAGAGGATTAAAAGAAGAAGTACAACGATTGATTGACAAGACTGGCCTTCAGGAAAGAGGTAAAAATGGATGGAGTCCACCATTAGCTGCTTCATATGGTGGCCACATTGATGTCCTCTGTCTCCTCATTGATGTTTATCATTGCGATCCTTCACAAGGTGATGATGATGGTGTTATTACTTTACACATGGCCTCATATAAAGGCCATCTCAATATTGCACAGTATCTAGTTAGTGAATGTCACGTTGATCCAGACATAGCAGATAACTCTGGTAATACAGGATTGCTTTACTCAGCACTGGGTGGTCACGTTGACCTCGTGATTTTGTTTTTAAAGAAGAAGTGTAACTTGTCTCAGGTGAATAGAGAAGGATCAACTTTATCATTATTAGCATGTAAGAGTGGAGAGGTAGCATTAGTTGATCAGTTTAAGCAGTTTGATATTTTCTCAGAAGATGACCTTGATTTTACTGGATGTGGAATAGTACATTATTGTGCTATGAGTGATAGTGTAGAGCTTCTAGAGTATCTTTATAATAATCATAAAAGTGAATTATTTCAAAGAAGAGATCGTTTTGGTGCAACACCACTCCATATAGCATGCC